TACGTAACCGTACCGTACCGAACCTCCTAACCTACCTACCCTACCCTACCCTACTCCTACTCTCTCTCTCTCTCTCTCCTCTATATATATATATATATATATATATATATATATATGCATGGGCAGTGATTTCATGCAACGGTTGTATTATAGTATAATGCAACGACACTTCAAAAAAACCATGTTTGTGGTATTTGTATGACCTAAAATTTTGCACACACTCTCTCTTTATCTTAATAATTAATTCCAACAAAAAAAAAAAAACGTTCAATTTGAATGCTAGATATAGTCCAAATGAGTCCTCCTCCAACAACGAATATAGACCATTCATTTGGTGAATTTCAAGATCTTAGCATTTACAGACTCAAAATCATTTTTAGCAGTGTTCATCTAATCATAATAAAGCCGTCTAAAAAAATTGGTAAAGAAAAAATCCTTCTAAGATCTAGATCTAAGCATCTCACCAAAAATTAACGGCCTATATTAATTGGGCTAAAAAAATACTTTTTAGGTTGCATTTTCAAAATTTTCTTTTTTGTGATTGTTCATTAGAATGAAAATAGTGTATATTTCAAACGAATAGCTCTAACACGGTTTTTGAAGGTTGTTGCATCATATTACTAGACAACCGCATGAAATCATTGCCTTATATATATATATATATATAACGCCTATAGACGAAGTGCTACAGTGTTTCGCCACCGTTACGGACTTATAAAAAACCCTTATATGCGAAGTGCTACAGTGTTTCGCCATTGCCACAGACTTGTTATGTTTGTGGCGGTTTATTGAACGGACCCGCAATGAACGGCGTCGTTGTGGTTACGCATAATTTTTTAACCACTATGGACCTAGTATGTCCGTGACAGTACCGCCATGGACATGTTAGATCCATAACGGTCGTAAAACACACACTGTCTGATTTATTCGAATGGCGATGGGCCTATGGGCGAAATCACTATAGCATTTTGCCCATAGGTCTTTCACAATCAAACTTCAAATGTGTGAAAGACACATGAATGTAACTGCCCTGCATTGCATTGCAAGCTTGAACGCATATTTCCCTGTTTGAATTCCATGGCACTGATTAATCACCTATCCTTTAGCTTTTATAGTAATG